ATTAACCCCCCCCCCCCCCTTTTTTTTTTACTACCCGCCGCCTTATGTACATGTTCATATCCGCGAGACCCCAAGACACACCAAGCTAATATCTAGATGCATGCAGGTGCTCCTCCTCCCTACCATTTTCGACAAACTTAACGAGAAGACGCTCTACATCTTTGGCGGTGTCAACGTGCTCACCATCTTCGTCGTGTGGGCGCTGTATCCTGAATCGAACCAGCGCACGCTTGAGGAGATGGATCTCGTCTTTGCGAGCGACAGCATCTGGACATGGGAGGCCGAGAAGAACTTTGCTAGGCTCAAGGAGGAGAATCCACAGCTCGTGCAGGCGGCCAAGTCGGGCCACGGTGCGGTTGATCCCGAGAAGGGCGTCGAGTCCCGAAAGGCAAGCCTGGTGCCTGGCCGGAGGGCAAGTCTCGTCCCGCGGGGTGATGGGGCGGATGGATCCAAGGGGGCGTCGAATGACAATGACAAGTCGAGTGTTTCACATGTGTGATTCACGGCACTGCGACGGAGTAGTAGTACATTCACTAGCCAGCTGTACAGAAGAAGCTAGGGATGATGTATTTGGGCGGTTTCATATGCAGTTCATCGGAAAAGCAAACATTGTCCTTGTATACCACGTAAATAGCTCGCGCTATTGGTACCCAAAATAGTACAACTCGACATGAATTTTTATGTTGGATTGGGCCATTTCCAAACGGCCACCTTTTCTCCTCATGCACATGTCCAAAGAACCAATCCATACCGTCTCTATAAGTATGCCAAAGCCCATCACCAGCCAGCCAGCGAGCCATTGAAATCCAATTGCCGCAAAAATGCCATAATAAAAAGTTGAAAAGAGAGATAAAAAATCCCAACGAAAACTCCAGAGTAGACATACAATGCACCTAGTCTCTATCGCTATCCATGTCCTCCTCATCGTCGTCGGTGAGGTCGACGGCCAACTTGTGCGCCTCGTGCTCCATCATCTCGCGGTAGGTGCTCCAGCTTAAAGCCGCAAAGGCCACGATGATCATGCTCCCGCCCATGATGGCGGCCCAGCTTAGCGGCTGGCCCGTCAGGAACCAATCGGCAATAGCGACGATGAAGATGGTCAACAGGGCGGCGACGCTGGACAGCACCGGCGAAGTCAGCGAAATCAGCACCAGGAAGCAGCCGCTAAAAGTAGCGTTAGACAAGACGGCCAAGAGAATCAGCCAGCACGTTGAAGCATTGGGAATTTCGAAACGCTCAATGTGGAGCCAGTGCAGGAAGGGGAGGGGGACCCAGAGCACGGTGAGGGTGAAGATGCCGATGCAGCTGCCGAACACGTTGGCGAAGATGGTGCCGCGGACAGGGGACACCCCCTCCGGTGGACAGGCGTAGCGCTTGTACAAGACCTCGTAGAGGCCGTACAGCACGGAACCCACGCCGATAATGAGGTTGCCTGCGAAGCGGGAGCCTGCACCGGGGTTGGAGGGGCCAGCGGCGGACGACGTTGCCTCGTCGGAGCCGGTGTCGCCGTAGGCTACTACCAGGACGCCCAGGATGGCGATCATGACGGCGATGGACTTGTCCAGGCGGAGGGGTTCTTTGAGGATCGGCACGGAGAATGCGTACGCAAAGAAGGCGCTGCAGTTGTATATGGCTGTCAGGTCGGATGGGGTCGTCAGGCTCACGGCAATGTACCAGCTCAGTCCGGCGATCGTCAACGCAGAGGTGATGTATATCGTCATTCGCGCAAGATACATGACCGGCCTCCCGCGCCGGGCAACCGAGGGCGTCGTGACGTTGATGGTCTGCAGCTCAATCATGGTGACGGTCGACAGGACAACCTGTAGATGCTTCCGCCAGAACTGGTCCCACGGCTCATGGCGCTTCTGCAGCCTTACAGCTAGTAGCGTCATTGGCCACAGAACTATCCACGAGCTGTGCGTCAGGTACATCATGCAATACGCTTTGCCCCAGGCCAGATCGTGCTGAATGTACGCGGACAGCTCGGTCTGTACGCAGAAGGCCACGAGGGATATGGAGAGGAAAAAGGCGGCAAAGAGGTATTTCTTGCGGGCAGAGGCCTTGGCGGCTTGGAGAGTGGTCGCGGGATTGCGCGAGTGCATGGTCGAAGGGCGGCCGAAGGTGCTGCGTTGCGAGGTCGTCGTCGTCATAGGCGGACGGCGACAGGCTTCGGTGTCGATGGTGTTGGGGGTCAGTTGTGAGGACGGAGAGGACGTGCCCGAGAGAGAGGGTGGCTTAGATTCCACCTCGTCCATATGGTCTTCTGCTTTGAAGAGCAGAGGCGTGCCGGAGCGACTTCCACGGTTCGGTCGACGATTGCTGTCCATGGTGTTTGAAAACGGGGACCGGTGGTTCGGGGCAACTGCGTTATGGCGAGGAGGGAGGCATACGGTGCTCAAAGCTATGAAGCAGCACAAATGATGCTCACGGGCAAAAGTTTGCCCTTTTTTCTCTCTCCGAGATTTTACCAGTATTGTGGTCTGCGCAGGAATGGAAAAATCTCCATAAACAAAGGAGTCAACGGAACAAGTTCGCGGCAGGGAGAGCAAAGCCCATTGAACACGACGGCAGAGTGCCCAATCCGAGAGAGGACAAAGGGTCAAAAGTAGAGACCATCAATTCAGCGCAGAGTGATGGGAAGCATGATATGATTCCGCCGGGCGATGAAGGACAGGAAGAAGCCAGGCGGTCGAATTTGCTTCAAAGGCGCAGATCCGGGGATTCAAAAAGTTGATGAATGTCGGAAGAACCCACAGGTCGCTGCTTTCGCTGACATTTCAAACGTTGAGGGTCCGCAGCCAGTAGCAGCCCAGCGAAACCTCATCCCCGTAATGGAATCACGACAGGGAGGGCCACGCGGCGGGTCACTTGCGTGCAAAGAACCAATGGGAGACCTGGGCCCATTCGCTTGGGGCTGGCCGGCTTCGTGTTCATTAACAGGCGTTGCAGGTCGAGGGAAAGATCTGAGGATACCGAGGTGCCAAGACGTCCGAGTTCGTTTGATGCTTTGGGTTTGGGTTTGGCTCCTTAAAACCGGCCAACGCCAATCCATGCCCTTGGATATGATGACTATGCCCACTTCACGCCATGGAATCTCCCTATGCTTCAGAATGTGCGGCCATTGTAGTTATGAGGCTAGATACTTGTTGTCGCGACTGTCGGTGACGTCAGTGAGGCTCGTGGCCGTTGACTTGTCGTTTCTTCGACTTGAGACCCTTGTCAAAAGACCGCGTGCGCTTCGGTCAGCCACCTCTTAATTACGCAGCATCTCGATCAATCTGGATCTACCTCCCGTTGTACAGCGATCCGCATGCAACTGTCATCTGAACCCGCGCAGCGGCACTGCAACCCTATCTGCCTCTCCAGGTTCTGGTCCCCGTTCTGGGATAGATGAACACGTCAGGTACCGAGTACAGCAACAAGGTACACACACTGGGCGGCACAGCCCGTCAAGGCTGCATTGGGTCACTCTATACAATTTTTAACTTTTTTCTTCTTTCCAAAACGCAGTTCATCAGAACAATATTTTGTCTCTATTCTTGACGCAGTTTTTATACATCCATCTACTTCGCCCCGGGTCCGAACAACACCCCCTTAGGATCGTAGCCATAGTCCAAATCGCCGTGCCAGTAATTGGCCGAATCAGCCTTGGAGATTTGCCACGCATCATCGAGAGCCTTGACAACCTCGTCAGGAAGAGGTCCCTTCTCCAGGTTGTTCAAGTTGTCCTCTAGTTGTTCGACACTCGATACACCAATGAGGATTCCATCGTTACCATCCTTGATCTTGAGCTTGGAGTGATGCACTACCCATCGCAGCGCCGTCTCAATCATGGTCAAGTTGTGCTTCTCGACGACCCCTTCCACCAGCTGGATGGCCTTGAATGTGCTCTCGCGGAAATATCGCTTCCGGTAATTGGCACCCTGAGCGGAGCTGACATCCGAGAACCGACCACTCTCGGGGATCATGTCGTGCGACTTGATCTTGCCGGAGAAGAGACCGCCGGCCAGAGGATTGTATACAACAATGTCGAGGCCGTAACGGCGACAAGCTGTGAACAGCTCGGCCTCAATGTTACGCGTGATGCAGTTGTACATGCCCTGGAAAATGCTCGGCCGAACCCAGTTGTTGTACTTGCAAATCATCATAACCTCGGCCACCTCGTATGCAGTGAAATTGCTGATACCAAGGCGAACAAATTTGCCAGCCTTGTGCAGTTTATCCATAGCTTCGAGCGTCTCTTGGAACGGCGTGCCACGATCAGGCTTGTGTAGATATAGGATCTGGTAAAGCCCCAATTGTTGTCAGTTTTTTTTTTTTTTTTTTGTTTTTTACTCTTACCAAAGTTCACCATTTCAAGCATCAGGTACCAGAAAACCACTTACATCTACACAGTCAGTGCCCAGCTCCCTGAGACTAGTCTCCACCGAAGCAATCACCTTGTCAGCCGTGTTATCCCCAGGTGCAAATGGATATTGGACTTTGGTGGCCAAGGTCAATCCCCTCTCCTTCCACCTGGCCTCCTTCGTAAATGCCTCTTGTTTTGCGCCGACATAGATACGAGCTGTGTCGACCTCGCTATATCCTCTTGCCTGGAACAGGTCTAGAGCCTTATTGAAAGTATCCAAGTCGGTGATGCGGGCGCCATCTTCCGAACTCGGTCCAAAAGTCATCAGACCCAGGATGATACGGGGGTTTACATTCTGAACGATGAGGGGCATCTTGGCGGTAGGTGTGAATGCTGGCTGAAGTGCTGTCGTATGAGGCTCTCCTGTCCAATTTTTCAACAAGGCGTCAGGTCAGATTTGATGCAGAGTTATGTTATGGACCAGACTGCCTGCTTTATGATTGAACTTCGCGTGCGGTGAATTGCTGTGTTGATTGCTCAGGGCGAGCAGTTCACCGCGTGCGGGGCACTCCGGGTCTCGGTGACGCCATCCACAGTGGAGAATCGTGGGGCTGCACTCCTCCTCCTCCTTCTAAGCTTCCTCGAGCCCCCCGGCCTGAGCACTTGAGCGCCGAGCTTGAGTGTTTCAATTTCTTCAATGCTATATGAAGCTAGGAGGCATGCACGTTGTTGATGAGGCCGTTTTTGATGTCGGCATCGATAACTGTAAACGTTCAAGGGCCACGAGGCTCAAGCGTTATGTTGTGATACCAGCAATGACTCACTGTTGGTTTGCTGCCAAAAGTGGGCGTTATCGTGTGCAGGCGCAAATACTAAATAGCCTCACCAGCTTATTGGGTTGGACGCCAGAACAAGTCGACGAAAGTCGAAGAGCCAAATGTAGGCAGGTTTGATCTTCAAAAAATGCATTTTAAACATTTCGAGGATATCCGGGTTTTCTCGCTTAATACACTTTTTTGTTTTCGCAGTTTACCCTTTTACATCATTCAAGTGTTAGGGTGCACTGTGAAGAAGAGTGCTAATCAGGGTTTTCGTGCGCAGGCGCAATGAAGGCGCTGCTTTGGTTCCTTCCGTATCCGGCCGGAGAGCTGTTGAAAAATTGAAGTCGTGCACGCCACAGCCTGGCCCCAAATGACGCTCCAAATTTCAAGAAAACAACATCGTAGATACGGGTCGATGGGAATTTTTCTGCTGCGATGAAGCAATTCGAGCCAAACCGCTTTCGAGAGAAATTCCACCTTTTACAGATCTCGCAGCTTACTTTAAACTTATCGCACAAACCAAGCGCTCAGCCGATGGAACCCTTTCGCCTGGTTACGAGTTATCGGGACGCATTCCCTAGACAAGAACGCATCTGTTTTGCGATTTCAGGTTGTCCAATCCTCGCTGCCTCCCACTCTTGCCTCAGTTCAATGACTATCGGCCAGACAGGTGGTACACAGCCCTAGACTGAATATTCCACAACCCGAGCACCAAAGTGTGTCTCATCTACAGCAGGCACCAGGGTGGCCCAGCTAGAAGCTCCGAGTCCTACAGAGTTGAAATCTGAGCGCATCCAGTATCAACCGTCTCGTGCTTTCATTGCCTTCCAGACTGCAGCGAGTCCACATTGTTGGTCGAAAAATAATGCATGTAACACGGTTCCAACCAAAATTGAACAAATGTATTCTTTGTTTCATCGCGGAGTAGCGTTATTCTGAATGCCCAACAGCACCTGGTACGGACCAATCCTGGTTGGCAATGGCTGACGTATATCATCTACCCGTTGACAACTAAGTGGGCCAGCCACTTAGTTGACCACAAAATTCCGGGACAGCACAAA